CAAAAATGCCAGTAGTTCCCAATAGAAACAGAGAGCCAACTCAAAAGCATAGCCAGTTTATGCATCTAGTTTCTTCTCAGCTTCACCGATGACACGCAATTGCTCGAAAAAGGCGGTGAGCTTCCTCATGTCCTCCTCTTGGACACTGGGCGGAGCCTTCTCTCTGTAACCGGACGCTTCCATCTTCTGAGACAGGGCATGCTGTAGCCTGCGCGCGTATGGATAACAAGAAACCATGTTACAGGTGAGACAGTGGGATTAACAACGACAACCATACATGCGGATCTTTAGCGGGAGAGAACAATTAGATGGCATATCAAGCTTACTTTTGGATTTCATCCCTCTTTTTCCTAAGCTTTTCGAGCTCCGCTTCCGCATTTAGAGCTCCTTGAAGCTGAAGGTATACGGACAGATCTTTGTTGACAACAGCAGTCGAACAGTCAGGTGGAGTTTCGTCACTCTCTGCCAGGATCTGGAAATTGTCCAACATCAAATCAGTGTTTTTCATCAAACAGATGAAAAAGGATAAAAACAACTACGAAAATTGATTATTCTGCGACAGACAGTCACTTGAGATGATATGCTCCACTCCAGGTTTTAGCAAAACATCAGATCCGTAAAGGAAGTTTTCAGATAATAAAACACATAATACAGCTAAGGAAATGCAAGGCAAAACCTTAAGTGACGATACAGAAGAAAGAGACACCACTAGAGATTGATAGCACTGAACAGTGGCAGCAATATCTTCGCCTCGACAAAGTGCAAAAGCAGGTCGCCTGTTCATGAAAAAGATGAGAAATAAGATGTCTATTTGGCAAGCCAACTGTAGAACAAGAATTAAGCAACCATATACTCCCTCCGTTCCTAAATATAAGTCTTTTTAGAGATTTCACTATGGACTAGATACGGATCAAAATGAGTGAATCTACACTCTAAAATATGTCCATATACGTCCGTATGTAGTTTGTAGTGAAATCTCTAAAAAGACTTACATTTAGGAACGGAGGGAGTATATCATGCACAGTAGATTGTGAACACAAAGCCCAGGTACATGACCATATATACACACCTTTCATTTGTATCTGTCGGTGGCTTCAGAGATCTTAGTTTGTTCACAGTATCCAAGATAATACCAAATTCACTTTCAAGTTTATCATCTGCCCATTCCTGTGATAAAGAACAATTGTTTTCCACTAAGAAAAGGATATTGCCACATGAAGTTCTCTGTATTTAAAGTCTTCCGTTAGACATGAGTATTACCTTAACAACAGATGGATATTCTGATATCATAATGGAATTTTTTCTGCAAGAATCTTTGGGCTGAGGAAGACGCTGCCAGAGTTCTTCTGTTACATAAGGCATGAATGGGTGGAGCAGACGCAAACCATTGTCGAGGCAAACCCATAGGGCATCTCTACAAGCAGCTCTTGCTGAATCGAACTCTTGAGAGTCATTGAAGAAGTAAGGTTTTACAGCTTCTATAAATACATCACATAGCTGGTATTGCCACCATGAGTAAATAGCAGATGTTGCATCGGCGAACTTGTATGCTTCTAACGAGGTCACAGTCTTGCCAATAGCCTTGTTAAGTACCGAGAGTATCCATTTGCAGACCGGGGGCATTGAAGACACAACAATGGTTGCTGGTGGAGTATAATGATCACCAAGCTTGCCCATTGCAAAACGAATGGCATTCCACAATTTATTGCACCACTGGCGATATCCAACAACCCTCTTGATATCAAGATTTATCTTGTCAGACTGCAAAACAAGAGAGATTCTATAAAAAGATGAATTGGAAGCTTATAATACTACAACAGAAACTCAAATGGGTCTGACTATAACCTGAGAAGTGTAAGAAATCAGTGCGAAACGGAGTGCATCAGTGCCACATTCAGCAATGCCATCAGGAAAATCTTTCTTCTTCCCTTCTCTTGCAACACTTAACTCATTTGGATCCAGGTTGCCTTCTTCCAAACGTTTGAGGAGATCTTCAAGTGTCGTACCGTTTATCACCTCGAGGGGATCAACAACATTACCAAGTGACTTGGACATTTTGCGGCCATGTGCATCACGGATCATAGGATGCAGATACACCTGCAAAAGAGGGTGCAATCATGACTCAGTATGTGAGACAATTAAAGCATATCTTCAGCTAGAAAAGAGTTGAAGCTCAATATGGTTGGTTAAATAAGTAGTTTCGGAATTTAAAGAGAAGCACCTTCCATCCAGAAAAGAAAAGGGTAAGTTAATAAGTTTAAGCATTTAACACTACATGATAGTCTCAATCAAGCACACAGTACAATATGACAAAAGACGATGATGACAGAAATGTAACTTGTATTCAAAAGTAACTAAGAACAGAGTTCATGCAGGAAGATGACCCGTTGACACAAATGACAGATCGCGGAATAATAATTGAAAAAGGGCGGAAGTCTGGAAAACTTATAGGGCACTATATTGTCAAACAATTACGCTCTCATTTTTTGAACTGAACCTTGTCTGTAACATCCACATACTCCAACTACCAAGGTTTAAGGTAGATTGACGTGTATCTTCAGAGTTCAATCAGGACAACACTGGAATGGCATGTAGAGGCAAATGGCAGAGCAGCAAATAGTGCAAAATGGACAACCTCATTAATCCATTCAGCAAATGTCAGAATTCATAATGCATGATTTTGTGAAACAATGGTGGTTATGCACTGCCACTATTAAATGTAGATTGCTTCACTTTCGGGACATTTGGACATAGCTACTGTTACAGAAGAGGTAGCTATAAGCTAAAGAGCGCGCACAAGGAATTAGATTATTTATGTATAATGGATTATTAGAACTGCAGAATACAGTTTAATTGACAGAGAAAAACATTTGTGTCATTACCTTCTGAAATGGCACATCACCACCAAGTTGCATACCCATCATCACCATACGTGCCACCCAGAAGAAGAGAATATCAAGTCCAGTTTCAAGTACTGAAGTAGGGTAGAAAGCACGAAGATCAGCAGTATCATCTGGCCAACCAAGCACTGTCAATGGGAAGAGACCAGATGAAAACCAAGTATCCAAAACGTCAGGATCTTGATTTAACTGGAATTTCTTCCCCGGATACTTTTTCTGTGCCTCAAGCATTGCATCACATTCATTCCTTGCGACTATCCAACGGTCATTGTTTGATCCCAGATCATTCAATTGCTCGTCTTCTAGTGTCACATACCACGCAGGTACACGATGTCCCCACCAGAGTTGTCTTGAAACACACCAATCGCGTATGTTTTCAAGCCATCTGCAAGAATGGTGGATGGATCATGTTTCTTGATATTTCATTACTTTCACCTGAAGTCGACAAGAAGTGGCACTTATAACTAGGCAAAAGAAGATACCTGTACCAGTCTTGTTCATATTGTTGCGGAATAATCTCAATTTTTTTGGATCTTACAGCATCAAGACCTGCCTTTGCCATTGTATGGCAATTAACAAACCATTGAGGCTTTATCATAGGTTCCACCACATCATTACTTCTTGAACAAATGCCCAAATTCATTTCATTCTTTTTTGTGTCCTTGTACAACCCCTTAATTGGCAGAATTAAACATTGTTAGTCCAAAACTCAAGACTACTCCCTCTGTTCCTAAATATAAGTCTTTCTGAATGGAGGGAGTACTTAACTAAATCCAAATGAAATAAATTGGAAAAGGCAAAAAAAAAAAGATCAGCTAAAGTGATTAGTAAAGGTAAATAGTTGGTCACTTGATTCCACAGGCATGCAAATTATATTTCTAATAAGAAATGAGAATTCGTTGCGATGGATACCCAAACAAAATGGGATAACATGAAGAAGCCTTGAAGCAACATATACATAAACTACCAAAACACATATTTCTCATAAAAAGAACGCTGTACTGAGAGACTCATTAACTAGATTAATCAGATCGAGTGAAGGACAACCATGTAAGAGGTAGAAATGTTTATACAAGAATCAATATTGCTTAAGGCTAGCAAGTTCCAATTTGTAGTAAGTGTTAGCAAAATAGAAATGTGAATATTACATTACATAGTTCATGATATTTCTCTGTATAGTCTCTCTTTGTATGACATCACCTAAATTTATACTAATCCAGCGCAATAACCCAACAATCATTCTTCAAATACTACATCATAAACGTTATGCACCAATAGCTAAATGAAACCAGTAATACCTTTTCTTTCAGTGCATCAATAACTGCAACCCGAGCAGCAAATCTTGGCATTCCTTCAAATTGTGCACCTCCATTGCTGTTTATCTTCCCATCATCTGTGAAGATATTGATGAACTCTAGGTTGTGTCGTTTTCCAACCTCAAAGTCATTTGGGTCATGGGCAGGTGTAATCTGC